ATTCAGATCTGATAGGAAAGAACTTACTGACTCCCAACGACCTGAAAGTACTAGTATAAAAAGCTATGATTTGTTCAGATCTGAAACCTACATCTATGGACAGCACAAAACGTCCACTAGACTGTGCGACACAGTGGTTGCAAGGATCAGGTTGGGTTACCGTTACCTGTGGCAGGTGGCTGCAGGTGACGGGTCTCCCAATCCTGAGCACTCCAGTTGCAAACTCTGTGAGCAGGAACTACGGCATGATCTCCCGCACTACATCACTGAATGCCCAGTTATTAGACCTTTCAGACCAGTTGGCATGAGGTACCTGGAGCTTTGCAATTACTTTATTCACTCTCGTATTCTTGAAGATATCCTCACAGTATACCCAAAATTTGCCAGTGCAGGCTATTAAACACATGGCTCTGTATGACTAACCATCCTGCGAGATGGGGACTTGTATTACCACTGCTACCTTATTCAATCTTGTGTTGTTGATATCCTCAAAATGCATCCGGAGTCTGCCAGTGCAGACCGCTTATCACATGCCTCTGTATGACTAACCATCCTGTGTGATGGGGATTTTATAGCATCACCTAGTTAGCTTTTTTGACACACTGTACTCCACTTCATATAGTCTAGGGTAGCTGCACTAATGCAGATGTACCTCATAACTTAATAAAAAAAAAAAAACGATCAATGAGAATGCTTTCCAGCAAGTTAAAACTCTCAGAGAAGTTCTCTCTCAGCGTACACGCCTTCCCACGATAAGGGATAAGACGTGTAATGTTGGTGAGAAGCAGTCTATGTAAGTTGACAGTCCGCCAGGCTAGTGTGCCCAGCCAGCCTAGTCTCTAAGGAGTGCTCTGGCCACATTAACTTATAACTGGAAACAAGTATCACATTAACATATTGATCTCTAACTCTGTATGGAATCGGTTTGACGAGGCTGCGGCCTCATTACAGCGTACAAGGGGTCACTAATCTCAAGGTTGCTCACTTAACTTCATGGACAACCAGTCGACCTCCATCACACAAGACATTCGCCTGTATCTGCCTCAAGGGAATGGCTTAATAACCATTCCTTCCTTCCCAGTCTGACATGTCTAGTGTGTTCCGCTAGCCAGTACATGCCCAATAAATCCTACAGAATCCTCTACACTTGTCTTACAGGATCCTTCACACCTGTCCTACAGGATCCTTCACACCTGTCCTACAGGATCCTTCACACCTGTCCTACAGGATCCTTCACACCTGTCCCGCTGCAACATGTGGGTATAGCTGACTAAGGAGTGTGAGAGCACAATTTCCGTTACATGAATATGTCATTGTCGAGGACAGGAAGCTTGTTCAGCTTACTGTGAGGTTCCCCGAGCCATGGTGGGGGCCCCATGGCTCGGGGACCTCACACGCGCCAGACCAGGCGGGGCTTAACGTGACTGAACGAGCCCCTCGCTGATTACCTTCTTCTTTCTCATATACAATGTTTGCCGGTTTGGTAAATCTTGTTATAACAAAATTTTTTTTTTCCCGCCCTAACCTTGGCCTGAAGGCCACCCTGCGACCTCCCCCCCTTCCCCTTCCCTCCCTCCCTCCTCTTCCGTCTCTCCCTCCCTACTTCCCTTCCTACCCTCCTTCCCTCCACTGTAATTTGCCTCAGCACGAAGACAAGCTAATTAGCGGGAACTGAGCTAAAGTTTTACCCCCGGGTGCTGGGGTGAGGCCCTCACCAGGCTCCACGACTACACTCTGTGTATATACACCCAGTTCTCTCGGTTTAGTCAGATGGCTGGGGTTGGGGGCTGGGGTTGTGGGCTGGGGCTGGAGTTTGGGTTGGGGGGGCTGGGGTTTGGGGCTTGGGTTTGGGGCTGGGGTTGGGGGCTGGGGTTGGGGGCTGGGGTTGGGGGCTGGGGTTCAGATGGCTTGGGTGAGGGGGAAGAGAACTGTTCAAGTGCCTAATCATTGAGTTCTTCAGTACGTGGAGACACTAAAGTTAGTGATAAGACTGACTAAGGTGTTCAGGTTGTACTGACTAAGAGGCATTAATGTGTGCTTATTCACCTAGATTTACTCACCTAGATGAACTTGCAGTGACTAGATTCATTTGGTTTTCTTACCATTTACATTTAAGATTTTGTATTGAGTTTACGTCGTCAACTTTTACATTTAAACTAAATCATTTCATTTCTTGACTGTTCTTACATTGATGAAGTTCTTTACTATATATGACTCACTTGTGTCTACCCTTCTCATCTACGTCCCCTCGTTCTTCTGGCCCTAGCCTGGAACATTGCTTCTGTGTTAACTTGGTCAGTCTCCCCTTAATGTTTGGAGACATAAATCCAAGTGTTGTACTTAGGTCTAACTTTTAAGTGTTCTATGAGCTCACTTCTAGTCAGTCTAATTATGTACCTTGCAGACGTTAATGATGCCGGTCTGTTTATTCCTGGGTCAAGTTACTCTTTTCTTATGTTATCACCACGTGTTTGTGTGTGTGTGTTTGTGTGTGTGTGTGTGTAATCACCTAGTTGTGTTTGCGGGGGATGAGCTCTGTCTCTTTGGTCCCGCCTCTCAACCGTCAATCAACAGGTGTACAGATTCCTGAGCCTACTGGGCTCTATCATATCTACACTTGAAACTGTGTATGGAGTCAGCTTCCACCCTCCTGTGTGTGTGTGTGTGTGTGTGTGTGTGTGTGTGTGTGTGTGTGTGTGTGTGTGTGTGTGTGTGTGTGTGTGTGTGTGTGTGTGTGTGTGTGTGTGTGTGCGTTAGCATTATTATTAAATAATATTATTACAAATTACATTATTACCATTACTATCAGTATTCCTGTTCATGTATATTGCTGGAGATCTGGCCCCAGTGGTGTGGCCCCGGCACGAGGCGTCTCCACCCCACACTCTCACCACAAAAACAATGAACTTTGCTCATCACCCCCTACATCAGTGTCAGTAAACCCCCCCCCCCCTACTCTTACCCCAACATCAGTCCCCCCTCCTCCTCCCCTCTCATAGCCCTACACATCCCCCCTTACAACTACGTTAGTCCATCTATTCACTACAACAACGACGTCAGCCCCACTATTCAGCCCCCCCTCTCCGTTCACCTATGTCAGTCCCACTCCCCACGTCTCTTACCCCATCATCTAACCCTCTACCCCCTACCCCAACGTCTGTCACCCCTTTCTCCACCCGCCCCACCATTTCTCTCCCTCAGCTAAACCACTATCCTGACCTCACCTTGGAGGCCGAGAGAAAGGGAATAGATGCAGATGGGGAGTGTGGATGATAAGGAGGAGGGGGTAGATGGCGCGGTGGCTAGACGGGGAGGCGTGTGGGTGGAGTGTCTGGGCTGTGTGGGTGGAGTGTCTGGGCTGTGTGGGTGGAGTGTCTGGGCTGTGTAGCCACATGGATGACGTGGAAGACGGCGTATGAGATGAGCGATGGATGGGAATGCTGGCAGGTCTGAGTTATGGCGAGGTAGGACACATTGGGGTCTATGCTGACGTCAAGATCCCCCCGCTGCCACCAGTAAGGTATTAGTAGTAGGCGTCCATCAGTCTCAGGAGACTATGGAGTTGCGCTCTGAAGTGGCCTCTCCAGGGCGGGAAGCCAGGGTAGATTGATATGGAGAAGCTGTTACCCATGCATCAGGTCCCCCTCTCCACTCCCCCTGGCCAGAAGACTAACTACCACAAACTTGTGAGTCGTCACCAGTCCTTTAGAACTGTAGTGAAATAGTATAACACCATTTAAGGTTTGGATGGTTAATGTCATTTAAGAATTTTATGTTGTTCGACTTTTATTATTACATAATAAAGAGCTCAACATTGCTATTATATAAAAGTCATTAATTAGTGGGGAGATCGTGCACAAACATCATAATTTAAAGTAATCATGTTCGAGATTATTTCTGATGATTTTTTAGGTGTACATTAAAATATTTAAGATTTTCTTTGATCAGAAATCCGACAACTCTGGGGTTTCAGTCCACAATTCAGTCCACCCATATTTCAGGGCTCGATATAAGAACTATATTTATATGAAATTCTTTATAGGGAAGGATAAATGTATAATGATTTTTCATAATTATATTTATAATTTGAAAATCAATAAAGCATAAAAATTATTCGGCAATATTGTTTCAGTCCCTCATACATGAACCAGGTAGGGATAATAACTATGCTCTTGAATTGTAAGGAAACTTTCTTGACGACCCATACTGTAGCCAGCTGCTGCTGGCGGCCTGTACAGGGAGCTGAAACTCAAACGACCTGGTCTGACGACCTGGTCGAAGATAACATGATTGGGAAACGTTTTTCTAAATACGGGGACTGAAGTTGTCTATAGCTTCATCGTTTTTCTTGATTGGCTATCACCTTATTCCCCCCCCCCCCTTCACCTTCCCTTCCCCTGGCTCCCCTACATCCTTCCCTCTTCCCCCCCTCCATCCCTGTGGGTCCCTCACCTACCCCTTTCCCAGGGACCAGCCCCCTCCCCGCTGGCCTCCACTCCCACTTGGAGAGAAAGGGAACACTAAGCAAGAAAACCCGCTTGGAAAAGAACATTTACTTTCGGTTAAGATCCTTCACTTCGTGAACGAAAAAACAACCTTGAGCGAATCATTCCAGCACCAAAACACTCTGCCAAGAGCGTGGATCCCAGTGATTTTCATTCATCCTCAAAGCGAATCGCGCCACGCTTGCCTAGTCTCTCCTGTCAGCGCACACACACGTGGAGACGAACTTAGGTTTCCCGGTCAAAAGTGTGTAAATAAATATTTTGTGTTTGTGTGTAAAGACGAGTGAGGGTGAGGGTGGTGTCAGACACCTCCTCTAGAGTGCCACTAGCAGGTGTTATCAGTGCCACCAGCCGGGTCCTGCAGGAGAGGGCCAACCCCACAGTGTCATTCAGGGTCAACCAACCGGTCCTCTGCCCTATGGCCTTCCCCCTCGCCGGTGCCCAGGTGGTGGGGGTCGAGCGGATCATGTATATAAAGGATCATCCGGACGACGACACCACCACATCTCCAGCAAGTGCAACGCTGCCAACACCTCCTCCTTCACCACCTGCACCATGAAGACCGTGAGTCGTGTCTCATCATCCTCCCCTCCCTCTCCCCTACTTTAGTTCAAATCCATCCACTTGAACTGATTGGTACAGCGACGGCCTCGATTCTTGCAGGTCGGCGTTTGATCCCCGATGGTTCAAGTGGTTGGGCACCGTTCTTACACTCCGTCCTCATAGCCCACCTTGAGCTCTATCCTCACGTTCCTTAAGAATGCTATATAGTTATACTGGCTTAATTATCATGCAATTACTTTACCTATTATTACCTTCATCCTCTCTCATTATCCACCTCTCTCTCTCTCTCTCTCTCTCTCTCTCTCTCTCTCTCTCTCTCTCTAGAGACTTCTGTTTTTATGTGCTAGCCCCAAACTGCTTGCTTAAGTCTGTTCCTAACTCAACTCTAAAGCTAGGAAGTACGAGTAGTAATACTCAGTTTCAATTGTTTTCTGAACGATTTAAGTTATACATTTCCGTAACACAATGTACTAGAATTTTGGCAACCCATCTTGGTCATTAAAGCTTGCTATCTGAACCTATTGTTAAATTCCTCAGTCGTTTGTTAAAAAGGATAGCATGTAGCCCTTTAACTCCCCGTAGTGTTGAGACTTTTGATAAACCTTCAAGACTATATTTAACATTGCTACATTGAATACAGACTTTCGCTTGTAAACTCTGGTGAAGACTGTCTTCCCTCTTTTGTCTTCGGCTCCCATATTCCTTATTGGACACTACTGTCCCTTACTGCACACAGCTAGAGAGACGGACACAGCTAGAGAGACGGACACAGCTAGAGAGACGGACACAGCTAGAGAGACGGACACAGCTAGAGAGACGGACACAGCTAGAGAGACGGACACAGCTAGAGAGAGAGTTCTTGACACACATCAGCAGGAGGTGGTAAAGAAATAGATTACTATACATAAGGCATAAATCCAACGATCACTTATAGGATGTTACTCTAAAAATAACTTATATAAACTAATAATGTTCTGCAAGCTTTGTGAACGAAGTTATTTATATATATCCAACCATTCTTCTATGCAAAAAGCAATCAATCTGATTTGTATAATAAGATTAACAGTTATTAAATAATTTAATCTACTTACACTGGAAACAATGCCAAAATCATGATAGTTATACGTACAAAACCCAATACTGAAGTGTAAGTCGTAGCAGATTGATGAAGATTAAGCCACCCAAGAGGTGGCACGGGCATGAATAGCCCGTAAGCAGCAGTGCAAGGTCTTATGTATGTATACAAATGACCCCTTTTGGCCTCAGGTCATCCTCGCCGCCTTGGTCGCCGTGGCCGTCGCTGCCCAGCTGCCCGGGGAGCCGACGCCCATACCCATCGTCCGTCAGTCTCAGGTCAACCCCGAACTCGGCGCTCACAACTTCGAGTTCGAGTCCGCCAACGGCATCCAGGTGCAGGAGTCAGGCTCCGAGGGCAGCCTTGGCGGCGCCAACCGCATCGGAGAATACAGGTAACTTCTGCTTTGATGATGATGATGATAATAGCTTCAGATCCGTGTGATCTGAACACATTATGAATATGAAGAACAATATTATGAATATATATGTATGAATATAATATATTATTTAATGAATATAAAAGAACACATTAGTTCTGTTATATTCACCATGTAAATTATTCACAGTGGGGTGAGACTGTGTTAACACTAACATAGGTTAATGCTGACATGGTATGTATAATATATGTATCAACACATATATAAAGAGTGTGGAATACGCACAAGACAGTGAGTACGAGGAAGACGAGTAGTGGACGTGAAGTTATTATGTCATTCGCGATGTAGTGGAGAGAACAGATAACTCTGCGTCTGTCTGTGTTCCACCTCACATGAACATAATGCTTTTTTATTTCATGCTCATTAAGCCCAACCACTTGGGCTGGACGGCAGCGCAACGGTCTCGCTTCATGCAGGTCGGCGTTCAATCCCCGACCGTCCAAGTGGTTGGGCACCATTCCTTCCCCCCGTCCCATCCCAAATCCTTATCCTGACCCCTTCCAAGTGCTGTATAGACATAATGGCTTGGCGCTTTCCCTTGATAATTCCCTTCCTCAAGCTCATTAAGTACTTCACATCGTTCCTCATTAAACGAAGTTTCTTCTTTGCAATTCTTCAATTGTTACAAAAGAATCTGTTTACTCTTTGCGGCTGTCCACTGCGAACCTTCTAAAGTTGCCCCGGGCCGGCCCTCACAGCCTCAGGTCAACAGTTCTCCAAGTCTTCAAAATCAATATAATTCTTTAACTTGTCTTCAGGCGTCCGACGATGTATCCAGCAGTATGGCGTGGCTGGGTGACCGCGTGTCTATGGTACGCCTGACACACCTCCGCCAGACTAAAACTTCACAAAAGATTAACAGAGCATTTATCTGTTTGCAGTTACGTTCAGGAGGACGGCACCGTAGCCAAGGTGCAGTTCGTAGCTGACGAGAACGGCTACCAGCCCCAGTCCGACCTGCTGCCCGTGGCCCCAGAGTTCCCCCACCCCATCCCCCAGTTCGTCCTCGACCAGATCGCCTTCGCCGAGGCCGAGAGGGAACGCCTGGCCCGCGAGGGCAAGACCCCCCAGTAAGGCCACCAGCTAGTACGACCTTCGACAGCTTCACAAGACGATGCAACAGTCTTGGGAGCCTCCTTCTCCCTGTCTGACTATCTTTTGTATTTATTAGTGCAAATAAATTATTTACTATCACTTGTATTGTCATTTGTATTCGAGAACCTGGTCTTGGTATGGTTGGTATGACACCTGTGCCTCGGCCGGTGTTACCTGTGATGTAGCAGGTGTTACCTGTGTTGTAGCAGGTGTTATCTGTGTTGTAGCAGATGTTAAACCCGTCCTCACCGGGTGGATGTTGTTGGGGAGGTAGTGAGGATGGTGGTAGTAGTAGTAGCAGTGAGGACACTTACCCATCAATACTTTCCTACTTAAGTCCTGTAGTGACTACAGGAAATAAGGTCCACCTCTTCACGCCCAGCCTGGCTACGAGTGCTTAGTTTCTTCTCGCGTCTCTTATTATCACTCGAGTTCTGTATCGGATATTCTATTTAAGTTGTGCCTGAAGGTGGCCACACTCGGGGACCTTCAGTGTCTCTGTATGCCTCCAGCCTCCAGCCTCCAAACCTGTGCAATTTAATCTTAGTTTAAAGATGCTGTCCTTGTCACAGATCCCATCAGGTGTGTCAAGCAGGACTTGATTCACTCCAAACCTGCTTTATCCCTCCGTTACTGCCTTGCTCTCTCCGAGTCCTCCGCCATCATGATTAGTGTGTCAAGCATTTTGCAACAAAAACAATATTAACAATGTTCTGCAACTTAATACTTCCTGTTTGAAACATAGTCCCGCTTGTGTGTTCCTTTTCTTGAATATGGAAACTACGTTTGTCTTATTCAGGTTTCCGGGAGTTCTCCGGTCTTAAGTGTTTTATTGAGTATTCTAGTCAACACATAGCAGAGTGCTTGTGTACTCTCCTTCAGGAGCCAGGGTGATGCCGGACTGGCCTGGCGGGCATGTTGCCTCTAGGTCCAATAGTCATCTTCCAGTTTCTGGTTCAGTAATTACCATATGCTCTCTAATGTTGCAGCAGTGATGGTTGTGCTGGTAGTGAAGGAAGCAGCAATAGTCGTGGAAGAGTTGGTAGTTGTGGTAATAGACGAAGTAGGGGTAGTGGTGGTAGTGGTGTTAGAGGTGGTAGTGGTGGTAGTGGTAATGGTGGCAGTGATAGTGATGATATGGGTAGTGGTGGTGATAGTGGTAGTAGTGGCGGTAGTAGAAGTGGTGGCAATAGTAGTGGTCAGGGGTAGTAGTGGTGGTAGCAATAGTGGTGGTGATAGCAATGGTAATGGTAGTGGTGGTAATTGTGGTAGCGATGTTAGTAGTGGCAGTGGTGTTAAAGGTGATAGTGGTGTTAGTGGTGGTAGTGGTGATAATGGTGGTAGTGGTGGTAGTGGTGATAATGGTGGTAGTGGTGGTAGTGGTGGTAGAGAGAAATTTTCGTAGTCAGGGTTCAGGTAAATTAATTTGTTACTACAGGCCATGAATAACCTAATGACAGAACCAGAGGGAAGGCTTGACTGGGGTGGATGAGTGGAAGGGTTCAGGAGACGACAAGTGTCTCCTGTGGTGGCTCTGGGTTCTGTTACAGCCTCTAGGAAGCGCTTGAGGGGCAGGATTAGCATTACAGTTCGGGGTTTTATAGATGTAGAACACACTTGAGTGCTAGTGAAGTGACTTTATACTAAACAATTCCAAGGATTCCATTAAGGGGTCCCGAATGTTTTCTGGGACCAAAGTTTGTTACTGTTCTTAACTCATTTATGCTGAGTAATTAGTGATTGAAGGTAATTTTGGGTTGTAAATCCCCAGCCACAGATACCGGAGGTGAAATGTGGATTGATTAGTGAATAATAATAATATTTTATATAGAAAGTACATACATTTGACACATCTGTTGATGAAGAATGCTGAGTTTGTGTGAAAATGTCTATAACTTCATGGTATGATTAGTTTATATTAGTTTCGTTTATAACTGTCTTCTCATAATCCTAATTTTATAATATAAATTGTGTCAATATCTGTCGCACCACTTTAATGGTAAACTACACTTTGCTTTATCAATATATATATTTTTTATCAATATATTTCACCTTTCGAGCTGGAAGCTAAATGTCAATCACTTTGTGCTTATAATGTAAGTTTGATTCAGACAGTTGTTCACCTCTTTAGTCCAGCAAGTATTGCAATTACATTAATATAAATGCAATATTTATCTGGACGACCAAAGGCCAAATTCAGAAAAACATCAGAAGAAAAACTAATAATAATTTGTTAACAACGCTCAACCGATCTCTATCATCAAAGAAAATGAATCCCGGTAGTCTTCCTTTGTGCGTGGACTAAAGTAAAAAGAGCATTGTAATGATCTTTTTCGTTAGCTTCAACAATTTATTTATTTATATATATACAAGAAGGTACACTGGGATTGTGAGGATACATAGCATAGTAATTACATTCTTGTAAAGCCACTAGTACGCGCAGCGTTTCGGGCAGATAAATAAATAACAATAATTTGTTATTCTTCCAGTTAGCTTTTCACATGTATTGCTATAAGGCATTCTGCTTCGCCTGACATGTTTGTCATTCCAGACTTTGGGCTTCTCACCTCAACTGTTTCCCTCTGGGTCAGCCTGGGCTTGGGGGCTCTCGGCATCACGCCCATGACGGGGCAGGAACCGGGGTATCCCAGCCTGCGGATATATATATTATTGTACATATATATATTGGAGAACTAGTTGAACACTGGAAGAAGAAGGGGATGGGACGAATGTGTCACAGGGTCAAGGGACTGTATGTAGACTCGCTAATACATATTTCCTTCCAGCATTTCGTAACTACAAGCAGCCAGTAGTCACCACATCTCTTAAGATCTTCAAACAGGATGCGGATATATTTACAATATTAAAAATATTAAATAAAGTAAATCCATACACCTTTCTCAAAAGATCCAGCAACATATAGTGTAGTCAAGCTTGCCATGCATTAACTGAGAGTAACAATGCGAAATACTTTTATCGCCAAACAAGTACACATATAAGGGCAGATTTACAGTTAAAAATAAAATAGGAAACACATCTTCAAAAGGAATGGGGCGACTAAATTTTTTTTCGGGGGTTAAAACTAGCGAAAAAATAATTACAACATTTACCTTAGTCCACGCAAAAAAGAGACTCCCGGAATTCATTTTCTTTGATGACAGAGATTGCCTGAACGTTGCAATTGCAAAAAACGTTTTAATAATTTTATAATTTTGTAACAGTTTTACTATATAACTATATATTAAACTATTACTATATTACAAATATTTAATATAATAATAGCTTTGTGCGTCGTAAGAAGTATTTTAGTTATAATCGCAAATACTTATAATAATCTCTAATTAAAAGAGAGTGTGGGAAAGTTTTAAGTCCGGTAGCACAGTCGGGTTCATTTTCGACTCATAATCGGGAATTCCCGGTTCGAGTCCCAAACCGGGCAATGTTTGGGACTCGAAATGTTTGGCGCGTTTGCTATCACCTAATTTCCCTGTTCACCCAGCAGTAAATAGGTTATCTTGAGATGATTTCGGGGCTTTAGTGTCCCCGCGGCCCGGTCCTCGACCAGGCCTCTACCCCCAGGAAGCAGCCCGTGACAGCTGACTAACACCCAGGTACCTATTTACTGCTAGGTAACAGGGGCATTGGGTGAAAGAAACTCTGCCCATAGTTTCTCGCCGGCGCCCGGGATCGAACCCGGGACCAGAGGATCACAAGTCCTGTGTGCTGTCCGCTCGGCCGACCGGTTCCCTATGGGATGCCGGTCCTCCCCCATGCCTATGGGATAGGGGAGGTATGGAGCATGCAGAAAGATAGTAAACTATACACAAGATGGCAGGGAAGACAAACACTGAGAACGTTAACAAGAATTATAAAGAAGTCGTTATGTGGAAGCTAACATGACTCCTCGTACCACTACTCTCTTTAACTGGCTCAAGAAGGAAAACAGGACGTGAAGGTGCATAAAAGATGAGTGGTCAGCGCGCCACACACAAGCTCCTCCTACCCCGGGAAACCTCGCCACCCCTGAAATTGGCCTCGCCACCCAATTTTACAAGATAGGCCTGACAAGGCAGAAACCTTGACTTAATCCCCCCCCCCCTCTATTTCATTATGTTCTCGCGACTCATTTTCGTCCTCTATTTTCCCCCATCCTACATGCCTTATATTTATTATTCAGTATCTGAAGTTCATTATAATGTTCACCTGTTGATGACCGTGTTATTACTCTTCCCCTTCCTGGCCTATGAACAGCCTTCCCCATTCGCCATCATCAGCAATGATGATATTAAGGATACAAATTTTGTTCACAATTACAAATAAACCCATTAATAGTAAAAAAAACAAGCTGTCACAGGAATCGATATCACAAACTCGGCGCCTTGTTAATTATGTAAATTAACGATGCACCCCCAAATTTCCTTTTACCCAAATTTTATCCATTAAACATGTATTCGTGCCCACGCCTAACCCCGCACGCTACATTATGTATAACTCACTCAAGCAGATATTGGCGGCGAGGCAAGGGGACAGTGACTTGTGCCTTAACAGTGACTCCTTAACATAATCTGCACAACGGGAGGCTTCAGGCAGCCCTACAATGTTGGTAGCATCCCTGCCAGGCTGTCCACCCAAACCCAACAATGGTAACGTGACCTTACCTACACACACGCACACACCCTTCCCAGCCCCTCAAGATTTAAGCCACTGCTATTTTAAACCCAGAAGAATAAATCGCTGTACATCTTATCCTTTTCATACAGCCACGTAGGTTTTTACCAAAATCAATGTTTTGTTTTCAAATTCACCGAATACAATTTTAACGCTATTTTTTTTTTTTTACATATCACTTAAATAATGGAGAGCTAATAGACTTGTCAGGTATATGACATCTGACCAACAAATTTTAGAATATTTCCTCTTGTATATTTTAGCCTGTTGTAGACTAAATACAAATGAGTATGATTATTCTGAAGAAATCAGTCAATACAAGTGATTATAAATTTTGACTCGTTCCGTGCAATTGCTACACTCCAGTACCTTAGTTTATGACATTTCACTGTGTCTTTACAAGCTACAAATTGACGTCCAAAACTTGTGCTTCGGTTAAAGTCAGTTGGTTGTGCGTGTGTGGGGATGGGGGGGGGGGGGGATGGCGGAGGTAGGGGGTGATAGGGGGAGAGGGGGGCAGCTTGCCCCGCTCCCTCCACCATTAAGGTGACTGGCCCCTCATCGCCCAGCTGTATGGCAGCTCTATGTTTTACTCGCCACATTTCACAACCTGATAGTGCCTTTTATAGTTCCTGCTTCAACTCACAGCACTCGCTCTATCTTTGATTTTTTTTTTCAAGTTAAAAAAAAGACAAACCTATTTATAAAATCTAAACATTAACACCATGGCTTTATTAGCTGCCACGGCCAGATCCTCAACTAATGCTTAAAACATACTATGTTCGTTTCACTCAACCACGACTATTTTATTTCAACAGTAACAAACTAAATAACTGAGAATACAAAATTGCATAATGCCAGTAATTTAAGGGCCGTTATAAATTACAGGAGCCTTGAACATCCATTAAACTTGTGGTCCGCTAAGCTCCTGCTGACCGTCTTCAGGAAGCCTTCATCCCCTGCTGTGTGACCTGGCCACATCTCCTCACTCCATATTGTACAGTATAAAAGTGCCGAGGGGAACTTTTGTCAAGTGCTTCTCGCTAAACGGTCCTCGCTAGACAGCAACACAGCATCCCTCCCACTACCAGTTAAATGTGACAAACATTTCCTTTCTCTCTGTTACGCCAGGGTCGACCAGGAGGCCTGGTCGACGACCGGGCCGCGGGGACGCTAAGCCCCGGAAGCACCTCAAGGGTCATTCCAGGAAGTGACAATACAGAATGCAAATCAAACAACCTACCATCTCAGATTTCCATTAACAATTTCGTCGTGATCCAGAAAGTAATCAATTCCGTGATAATATTCAATGGTCACAGCGAGGATAATGTTGGTCGTACACCCTACACAGGGAATTCCAATTAAGCCATGTTCTATATATAAATAAGATAAGATAATGTCTCTTACCCAGGTCTCTAGGTACCCAGGAGTTAGTCAGCTTGTTACAGGGTTGCATCCCTGGAGGAAGGGGGGGGGGCAATATAAATCTAACATGTATATATATTCACTGGCTGCTTGTCCCCCAACACAATGAATTAATTATAATTAATTATCGAATAATATTTAGAAGTTCGAAATCTTTGTCGAAACTGTCCTTAAAGTTGGGTCCATAGCCCGTGCAACTGGGAACTTTTTTGTTCCAAGTAGTAAATCTTAAACAACAAACAACTTAAAGTTGAGGATGGAAGGTGGCTTCCACAACTTCTTCTTTCAGTGCTTGTTCTACTTGTGTTATACTCAGTGTTCTACTTGTACAGGCTACGGAAACTTCCTTACATTTCTTCGGCTCATTTGCGTTCTCAATTATTTAAATACTCTCGCCCTACTTTGTCCGGTCCACTTTGTAAACTCCCCTTCAGGATCTTTTATGTTGGCGGCACCCAACATAGAAGATACATCTGTATGCAGACGATCGGTCCAGGACGGACCGAAACGTCGTCGTCCCTTCACTTTCTAGTGTGTGGTTTAGTCAACAAAGATACATTTGTATCTTTGATTCCCAACCCAGTAAAGGGGGTTGGAGGGTTGGATGCTCAATTAAGCAAGGGCATTCTCATGCGTTCCCGCCTTCCCGGCTGTGTGAGAGGAACACTTAGTCTGCCGAGGCAGACTGAGTGTTCAGAGCGTTAGGTGCTTGCAAGAGGATTAAGTCAGGGCGTTAGGTGCTTGCATGAGGATTAAGTCAGGGCGTTAGGTGCTTGCATGAGGATTAAGTCAGGGCGTTAGGTGCTTGCATGAGGATTAAGTCAGGGCGTTAGGTGCTTGCATGAGGATTAAGTCAGGGCGTTAGGTGCTTGCATGAGGATCAAGTCAGGGCGTTAGGTGCTTGCATGAGGATTAAGTCAGGGCGTTAGGTGCTTGCATGAGGATTAAGTCAGGGCGTTAGGTGCTTGCATGAGGATCAAGTCAGGGCGTTAGGTGCTTGCAAGAGGATTAAGTCAGGGCGTTAGGTGCTTGCATGAGGATCACGTCGTATGAGTCAAGTCCTTTACTTAGGACTTGACACACACCATGAAGGGCTTAATGACGCACATCTCCCACAGTGGCGGAAACCGTCTAACTTTCCACGCGGGAAAACTGACATAAAAGACGTCAACTTCCCACGGGGAAAAATCTGTTAAAACACAAATCTCAAAAACTTAATTGTCCCTCGCCAGCAGCAGATAAGTTTTTATTCCGCTCTGACAGAGCTTCCAGCAGGGTACCTCAGGCCAGCCCCCCCCCCTCTCCTGCTTGATACCTGCTTGATGAGGTTCTGGGAGTTCTTCTACTCCTCAAGCCCGGCCCGAGGCCAGGCTTGACTTGCGAGAGCTTGCTTCACCAGGCTCTTGCTTGGAGCGGCTCGCAGGCCCACATATCCATCACAGCCCGGTTGGTCAGGCACTCCTTGAAGGAAACTATCGAGTTTACTCTTGAAGATGTCCACCGTTGTTCCCGCAATATTTCTCCTCAACATGACATCTCCACAGGATTACAAACAGAGGGGAAGATCTCAATTGCTCTCGACGACACCGTTGGCATTTCCAGTCACCTCAGGAGCCCTCCAAACACAAAGTTTCTTCAGGAAGTCATGCAGCTGCACCAGCAAGCGAGCCTTGGTGCCTCCGCTCGTCTACACGCTGTACTACTCGTGTTCCAGGTCATCTAACAATGATAGCCATGTTCATGAGCATCGTTGTCCGTAGGCTGCTCTAGGTAGCGCAGCTGTGGATTACGGATTAAATACCACCGATGTAAGAAAACTGTTGCATAAAGCAAATGCTTTAGGTAACACCTCTCACACCCTCACAACACTTCCCATACCCTCACAACACTTTACCACACCCTCACAACACTTCCCACACCCTCACAACACTTCCCATACCCTCACAACACTTTACCATACCCTCACAACACTTCCCACACCCTCACAACACCTCCCACACCCTCACAACACTTCCCACACCCTCACAACACTTCCCACACCCCTCACAACATTTCCCACACCCTCACAACATTTCCCACACCCTCACAACATTTCCCACACCATCACAACACTTCCCACACCCTCACAACACTTCCCACACCCTCATAACATTTTCCCCACACCCCCACAACCACCCCACATCTATACATCACCACCCACGTCTACCCGAGCCTTCCTTGACGTGTCCTGGCGTTATTGATTCGGTTAAACACAGTGTGCGGTCTGCACATTTCGTGTGATGTGAGCTCTTGGGACCAAGACTATTGTCTGGACTCATATTGACATCTTTCTCTCCCTGTCCTCTCTCTCTCTCTCTCTCTCTCTCTCTCTCTCTCTCTCTCTCTCTCTCTCTCTCTCTCTCTCTCTCTCTCTCTCTCTCTCTCTCTCTCTCTCTCTCTCTCTCTCCTCTCTCTCTCTCTCTCCCCTCCCCCCCTCTCTCTCTCCCCTCCCCCCCCCTCCCCTCCCCCCCCCCCCGCTCTCTCTCTCTCTCTCTCCCCCCCCCCCCTCTCTCTCTCCCCTCCCCCCCCTCTCTCTCTCTTCTCAGATAGCAAAAGTCAGCAGTACTGATCGACTTAAGACACGCAGCTGGGTCAAGCCCTGGCACTTTTCTCTACAACTTCAACGTTTCCTCTCACCTGCTTCACTTCAGCTGTCCCCACTTCAAGGCTCGCCCTAATGGGTATCTTATCCGGTATATTATCTATCTATCTGATTGTCGCAGGTAGGCTGGCCACTCGGTTGACACATGTTTTGAACGTGTTCTGAGCAAGAGGTCGGAGAAAGGTTGACCACCTCCGTGTGGGGTGCCCACACTAGCTTGACCTACTAGCCCAAGCAGCTGTCAACACATAGAAACATCAACAAACATCAACTGTTAGCATCAGCAACACGAGGCGAACGCAGTATTTTTTTCGAAAACTAATGATAAATATTTTTTCCACGTTGTATTTCGCAAAAGGTGGGTATCAGGAGCTCAAGCTCGATCTCGCCTTCAGGGGAATTAAAACAGAAGTTCACACATTAAGAAGGAACTGTCTTCAACATTCTAAGACTTTTACTAAGTTACTAAGAAGAGCTAAGGCTTAGAAAGTTTTACAAATTAAACTTAAGAATGTTCTCAACTAGTAAAAGCTTAAAATCGAGTCTCAAGATTTGTAGTGCGTGGGTGAGGCACTTACAGAGTTGTTATTTTAACCGAGGTCGTCAGGGTAGCATCGTTAGATCAATGTACCAACGTCTGCTGCGAGGCGTGTTTAAAGTATTTTTCATTCATAAACAGGTTAGCCTAATCACTTTTTTGCCCTTTTCGGATGAAGACTGGTTGGTCCTGAAGACCCATACAGTTAGACCGCTTCGAGCCAGACTTTTTCTGGTTCAGTAACCCAAGTGAGGTTGTTGAAGTGTTTCTGCATCAACCTGTCCTCATCAAGCAACCCGTCCTCATCAAGCAACCCGTCCTCATCAAGCAACCCGTCCTCATCAACAAAGGCCAATGTTCAATCTACGTAGCGATCAAACCCACTGTTGAGTAAGTAGATATTTATCAAAAGAAGGTACCAAGCCGGGAAGGCTATGTAGTACAATAACGAATACATTAAAAACTTCTTACTCACGATTCACAACTGAAGAGGTTCGAACATTGCTCGAACAGTGCTTCGTTGACGACCAGCGACAGTGTGAAGGGTTTCCCCAACCAGAACTGGAGCCGCCGTGACCTTGGTGTGTGGAGGGAGCGTCACTATATAACTGGAGCGCAAAGGAGCCCCATATACACATTCGCTCCGTCACCATGAAGTTGGTACGTCCTCCACTCCTATACCATAAGGTTTCTACCATCACAGTTCAATATTTGCACATTCTTTATCTGTTCCAAAACAACAGTTCTGGTCCCTGAGACAGAGTTTACTGTGGACTAGATAAAGAAGTGTACAGATAGTCGCTAAATCTTATTTGTTTCAGATCTTGATGGTTGCCTTGACTGCTGTGGCAGTGGCCGACAAGTTGCCAGAAACCGTTCCAGTCGTCGCCATCCTCCGCAGCCAGCAGGTCAACCCCGACGAGCTCGGTGCCCACAGCTCCGACTTCGAGGCTGACAACGGCATCAAGGTCCAGCTATCTGGCTCTGAGGGAGCTGCTGGCGGCTCCAACATGGCCGGCTCCTGGAGGTGGGTCACGGACTTGACTTAATTTGGAGTGTTTTGGGTGCTACAGCTCTTGTGGGAACCGACCTGTGAGATTTATATTTATTTAATTTATATGAATCTATATAGAATTTATATTTACGTTAATTTATATACTTCTATAGCAATTTGTATGATGATAAGTGGACTGTATTTCTGCAATAATCTCACAAATCGATCCTCTACACATTAGGGGGGGGTTATATTAATTGAATTTATATATATGCAGCCAATCAAACTACAGTATTAGACTACATACATTGAAGAGGTTCCTTATCTTATTTGTACAGCAGGCCTTAGTCCACCAGGTATAACCAGGATGTAGACACCAAATTATCCTCTTTGAGGTAGCTTCCATCACCCTGGTAACTGATGCACAAAGCATGCTTCCTCGTCTTGACCTGTCAAAAGGGTGCTAGCTATAAAGCCAGAATCCTATATATGACAGCTATATCAGAGAAAACACTGTACATGGAACAATGAAGACCTGGCTTAATTACCTTTAGTATGAGGCGATCTCGTGCTCTAATTGGGTCACCCTACCCAATGACATTAATGGCCACTAATGATACATAAATGGGTTTCGGTAGAACACTTAACTTGAATTTGTTGACAGCGTGTTGATGATGGTACACCTTTGGTTTCCATAACACTTCGTCCAAGTAAAATTAACAGGAGCCGAATTGCTCCCGTGAGCCTCTCGTCTAGTATAAACAATGGCTGCCTGACCACTCCCTCCTCCCTGACGCCTCCCTCCTCCCTGGCTTACATTGTCCAGATGACAGTAAGTGATAGAAGGGTCACATTTACTCTACTTTAATACTGATAATTAAGTTAATTTATATGAGATGTTTTTATGATGGTAAAGTCCAAAGACTAATGTATTTAAGAATAATTCCCACCATAATAGGTGGAGAATTTATAATAGTATGTGGTAATGATATCCCGTTTTCTATAGACGGAAATTCCACTACAGTTACATTTTCTATGGGTAACTTGTTTATACAATACAGCAGCTATTATTATCTGTCTGTATGATATTATTAAATAGTGTCGGATTTTCCGACAGTTCTGCATGTTTCAAGGACGCCGTTCATATGAATCTTCTAACAATTATTTTCCTCTCAGCTACCCCCAGGAGGACGGCAGTATTGCGTCAGTGAAGTTCGTAGCTGACGAGAACGGCTACCAGCCCCAGTCCGACCTGCTGCCCGTGGCCCCGGGGTTCCCCCACCCCATCCCCCAGTTCGTCCTCGACTAGATCGCCTTCGCCGAGGAGGAGAGGAAGCGCAAGGCTCAAGAGGCAGTCTAGATTCAATACGACTCAAGAGGATGCCGCCTAAAGAAAGAATGGATCGCTGAGCCTTTTTGTGCATAGTCAGATACCTTAAAATAATGTTGTCTTGCCTATATATTGATATCCTCTATGCCTTTGGAACGATTTATAATTATGTTAAAGACTATATGTATATATCGCCTGCGCCATAATAAAGGGGACAATAAATCATGATGATTATTAAAAAAGCGAGTTTCTTGCTCGTTTTATCAATGTCATCTTAAGAAGCTAAGAGCAGCGATTAACACCAAGGAAAAATGGCAAAATAAATAAGAAATAATAAAGGTAAAAGAGAATACGCTCAGGAGAGCTTCTTGAGCGGCCCAGAAAGCAATATTCTTCCATTCTGGTAAGAGCAGCGATAAAGCCCCATCCTTCACTTTAATCTTAACACATTGTCATTAACACACACACTGGCCCAGTCACTGGCACTGCCACTGGCACAGTCACTGGCACAGTCACTGGCACTGTCCTCGACCCAGTCACTGGCACAGTCACTGGCACTGTCCTCGACCCAGTCACTGGCACAGTCACTGGCACTGTCATCGACCCAGTCACTGGCATAGATCATCATCACTCATACAGCTGTAACGATTCCTGGAGTACAGGTCAAGCGATGGTCCGCAGGAAGTGTGACTGTCATGGTGGCAGACAAGAACCAATTGTCACGGGTGGCAGGGATGGTAGAGGCTGGTGGTGGGCGGCGGCAGAATAAGTCACATCAACAGTGATCAAGAGCGTGAGTGAGAGAAGAACTTAATGAGAGAAACAATGGGGATGGAGGAGAGGAAAGTGAGAAAAGACAGTGAGGAAAATGAGAGAGACAGTGCTGAAGACGCTGGTAGCCATGATCACCAGGACTGGGAACTCTGTGACCGTCAGTTAGCAGCCATATGGCTGTCACCACTAACTAATAACCATTTACAGACCTAAAAATGGTTTGAATTCAAATATGAAATAAGATTCTGGCGAGGTGCCCCAGCCATGATAAGTTCGAGAGGTCGCACAGAGCGACGTCTCGTATTATCTCTCATTCTCACACCCCCACTCTTGTCTCTCATTTGTAAACTCAGTCGCTTACACTATCAGGTCGAGAGAGAGAGAGAGAGAGAGAGAGAGAGAGAGAGAGAGAGAGAGAGAGAGAGAGAGAGAGAGAGAGAGAGAGAGAGAGAGAGAGAGAGAGAGAGAGAGAGAGAGAGAGAGAGAGCGGGGGCGGAGGCAGGTATAAATGTTGTCATAAAAAGATAATAACGATCTCCTGGCCTAGAACGTGAATATGTGTACTAACCTAGTTGTGCTTGTGAGGGATGAGTTGCAGCTCTTGGACCCAACCTGTCAGCTCCCAGACGACTAAGGTGTGTGTGTTTACCTGTTGTCGATACTGAGAATGATAACTTGATCGGTATAGCTGTTACTAGCAGCGATCCGCAGGCCAGGAACCTGCATGACCCAACACCTCCTGCAGGAATTTGCTCAATTGCCTCTTGACAATTTTCCTCCGGCGAGGGAGGAGTCAGACGGGGCGTCTGACTCCCGTCCTTGGACCAAAGTTTATTCCATCCCGCGTTCGACCCCAAAGACTCATTCATCAACTTTAACATGCTGTTCATTCAATTCAGGAATTTTCTCATATATAAATTAATATTGTTGTATATTTTCATATTGTGTTTTATTGGTTAGGTGTTTAGGCTCTCCTGGCGATTATTTGTATATGTAGTACGTGAGTGAAGCATTTACAGTGTTGTGGTTCGAACGAAAGTCGTCAGCGAACAGCCCGTCCTCCAAACAAAGACCCAAAAGTGATTCCATGCACCCGCCAAACCCCCTGTTTATGAATGGAAAACGGTTTACACACGTCTCACAACTGATTTAGTTCGAACACTTCCGGAACAAGTGCTTCACTGACGAATTTTGTTCGAACCACAACGCTGTAAATGCTTCACCCACGTACTACAAATACAAATAATCGCCAACAGAACCTAAACACCTAACCTAAGCTATGCCTATATATTTACAATATGCTAATACACTATAATATTAATTTATATATGAAAAAAATCCTGTTTTGAATGAACAGCATGTTAAAATTTAGGAATGCGTCTGTGGGGTCGACCGCTGGATGTAATGGACTTGAGTCGAGGATGGGTTGTGTGTGAAGGGTCAACGAGCACTTGGCCTTTGTTTATGAGGACGGACTGAAAATAAGATTCAGTATTCCGACCATTTTCCAATTAGACCCGAGAATATGCTGCGCGTTATCTAATAATGTCAGCTTTGTCAAACGACCCGGGAACAGTGTGTCCGTTGCCGCTAATTATTACGTTGGCAGCTTCGAGCCGAGACGCGAGCCGCCGACCACAGGGACCCAACTTCACCAGCAAGTCCTCCGTCCTGTACTTTATTCTGGAAAATCTCAGCACCATAAAACAGGTAACTGGTTTTACCATATCGGTTTGGTGATGTCCTCTCTCTCTCTCTTCATAGACTAGAGCAGAAAGGCCACTTGTAGGCCCTGAACAAGTGTTGAACCTTGAGTTGTAAATAGTTTGTACTTTCTCCTCAACCTTTAAATAGTGACTGGTCCAGATTCAGTCCTCAGCCACTCACATTATGCTAATTCCCTCTGACAGTAAATTATTCATTCCAAGGAAAACTGTTCGTCTGATTAGTTATCAAGCGCTCACATCTAAACATGATCCCTTGGCCGCCCGCCACAATGTTGCTTCACTTCTCAACCACTGCTTCTGACCCTCCTGAGCCACAAGTGCGAAGATCATCTTCATCGTGGCCAAGTAATGAACCGCAGAGCCTCCTCACATGTACTGTCTAACGGTGATTGGCGGTTTCAACGACTATCCTAACTTATTTACAGTTTTTCCCCACCCAGTCATCTTGAGCTGTCTTATCGTCTTATGGAGATCCCGACACCTTTGCTCCCCAGACAGTCAAGAACCGTTTATGGAACGTTATTACATAGTCTCACTTGTGTCCTTTCCTAATGACGTGAACTGTCGACATCGCTGGAGAAGCGACCATCGCAGCAGTCTTCCCGCCCTGGACTGTAACACCACAGGCAGCAACACAGGGCCGAGGCTGACTTCTCCATTACTCCGGTACGTTTGTGATAGTACTCATCTCCCTCTGTGTATGTCCTCTCCATCTATGCATGTCCTCTCCCTCAGTGTGAGTGTGAGGGTGAGTGTGAGAGTGTATGGTCGTTATATTTATCCTCCCCAGTGAGAGGTGGACCAAGGTCACGCTCTAGGTCCCTACAGCGTTGCTCACCACTCACTACTCAGCTATTTTACCCATGGATGACTTTTTCTCTGATGTATTCTACAGCTTTCACCTGTTACTAATGCACAAAGAAATCCCATTAACGTGATGCATCAATGAGAACATCAGTAGGAGCTATGATGGTTGGGCCGTATACTTGAGTTTTTAAAATTTAAAGACTGTCCTTCTTCGTTTTCCTCAGTATTCTGTATGTCATGATCATTTCCCCTCTATATCAGGGTTATGAGATTCAGTTAAGTTAATTTGATCACGTTGCTTAGACCTCTTAATGCAGGCCCATGTCTTGAAGCAAACGCCAGTATTTTTTTTTGCTTCAAAAGGTGTGGATTCCATGTTTACGCTGCGTGTTCTAGCACTTGTCTCACATAAGTTGGCTCAACGGGAAATTAACGTGTGGAGCCTACTACGCCTTGGGCTCACCGAAAACCTTTCTTGGTTTTGACCACTGGGTCTCGATACTGCCGTAAGGCATTCAACCACCGGCACTGATACCAGGGCTGGCGGACATATCGCCCGGGGCCTCAGGAAAGGGATCTATTAACGTTTCCCGGTTAGATATCAGTTCGGTGTAGTCAGTACCAGGTAGGTACCGGGGGTTGGCGGATCTTGGCGGCCTCCCGGTGCAGCCAGTCCTCATAAACAAAGACCAAAGTCCATTCCATGCACCCACCAAACCCCCTGTTTATGAATGGAAAACGGTTTACACAGGACTCGCAACTGATGACATACCTTGAGGTTACCTTGAGGTGCTTCCGGGGCTTAGCGTCCCCGCGGCCCGGTCGTCGACCAGGCCTCCTGGTTGCCGGACTGATCAACCAGGCTGTTGGACGCGGCTGCTCGCAGCCTGACGTACGAGTCACATCCGAATACTTCTGGAACAAGTGCTTCACTGACGACATTTGTTCGAACCACAACGCTGTAATTGCTTCACACATGTACTACAAACACAAATAACTGCCAACAAAACCTAATCTAGGCCTAACTGTACATCAAATTGTAATATATAATAATATCAATTTATATTAGTGGGGATTTTTTACACATCAATTTTAACAGACTGTGAATACACAGTCCGTTAAAATTAATGTGTCTTAGGGGTCGGCCGCCGGTTGGAAGAGTAAAATCTTCGAACGGGTTATATTCCAAGATATGTGTGGATATGATGGACACGGGATCCCGTGTCCTTGGGTACTAGATAGAATAATAACTGTATTGCCTGTACAGTGCCAACTGCCACATTTACTGCCGGACAGGATGAATGATCTTGGTCCCCCCCCTATAAACTCACCGTATATTGTACTAAGGGGGAACCCGGCGGTACCCGGGACAGTCTGTCTCTTCTCCCATGCCCCGCTGCACCCTCTTCCAATCCCCTTGATCCCCTCTCTTTATTCCTCCCACTTCCCCCTCCTTCTTCCCTCTACCCAGCCCTTTGGTCTTCCCCCCTCTCTCGCCCTCCACTACCGCTTTCCCCCCCCCCGCACCTCCTCTTCCCCCTTCTCTCAGAAAATATATTAAGAATTTGAGCGGGTAAACTTCATACTCTACGGATATTACACTCGCGATTTCATTCCGGATTAATTTCAGAGTCCAAGAAAATGGCTCGGGGAGGGAGGGGGGGGGGGGGGGGGGAGGGGGTATGGAGTTATAAACAGAATTTCGTTAACTTAGGCCTACCCCGACCAGCCTATGTCCGTCCTGTATTTGGGTGAGGCCTCCAAGTTTGGACAAACAGGCAGGCAGACATACAAAAAGACAGACATTTTCTTTTGTAGTATAGATTTACATTTACAAAATTGTGTATTTTGCCTATACACAACCACGTGAATATCCCTTACAATACACGATGAAACATACCAATGTATGATGAAA